ACCACCACCACCACCATCTTCTGGTCTCTTGACTGGAAAACAACATGAGGCAGGTACTACTGGGCAGATATCTTAAAGTCTGGAATACTTGTAACCTTGAGGAATCTGCCAGTGTCTGGGGAAAAAAAAATTGCTGGAACACACAGAAGGGGTGGTAGCTCAAAATTATGAATAAAACTCCGTCAATTGAAAAGCAAATAACAGCTTTGCCATTCATGATACTACTCAGAATGGGTGGCTGGTCAGGAAAAGCACATGAGCCTAAGAATTATGCCTAAATACTTTCTCAATTCTCAATGCTATACAAATCCAAAATGAAATGGTGGGAAACTCAGGCATGTTGTGAACCTATGTTCTAAAACTTCCTTTAAATTCTCCTGGGAACATTACTTCAATAAATCATTAGTTAAGGATGAAAAGGAAAAAAAACCCAAACCCACAGCTTACAATTCTGCACATTTGTGAAAACCAAATGCAGAAAGAAACGCAAAGAAAACTGCAACTTTATAAAAGAGGACATATTTTGAATTATAGGAAAATATTACCTGAATAACAAAAAAACTTGCACCTAAGAGGTAGCAAACAGTATCTGTGTGGAAGATAAAATACAACTAAGCTATTAGTCTTAGTGGCCAATGCATTGTGTTGTGCATGTAACATTTCCCACTAACATGCACTGCATACATAATTTTAAACATTCAGATAGTACAATTCTGTCTGTTGCCTCTTTTCAGGTTGCAGCAATGGAACTGGTGTCAACATCAATTGGCAAGTTTACAGTTGATCTTTTTAACAAGATGAATGAGAGCAACAAGAGCAAAAACATTTTCTTTTCCCCTTGGAGTATATCATCTGCTCTGGCTCTGATATACCTAGGTGCAAAAGGCAATACAGCGACAGAGATGGCAGCGGTAGGTTTTTCTATGAAGCATACAACCCGTACAATACCTAGCTCCTGTACTGGCTGCAAAATTTAGTGTTAAATAGAAACACTTGTCACCACAATGACAAGGAGCTGAGGCAGACCAGAGGATGTCACAAGTGAATGGCAAATTGTATTCATTTCATAGCAGGTTTTCACTTCTCCACTAAGAGTAAATGGCCTGTGTGTATCACACGCTAAGCACAGAGTGAACCTGTGAATAATTTAGAAGAATAATTTCTTCTAAATTATTCTACACCTTCTAATTTATCCTGTGATTCTATGATTCTGCCACAAATGGGATATTCCCTTTGAGATGCAAACAGCTGACACCAGTAGCTCAGACCTAATGGGCAGAAGGCTTGCAGATCCCAGCACCCTCCCACTCTCCCCTGGCCAGGATGCATCTCTCTATCTTGATTTACACTTTTCTAAACAACTGCCTGACAATCCAGCAGAAAAATAGGGAGGGCTTTCATAACTCCACATGCCCCAATCCAATCCATGCTCTAATGCTGCATGGCCACACTTGCTGGCTCAAGGCCTCAAGGGGAGCTGTGGTGCTCAACGCTGCCCAGTCCTCTCTGGGTCACCGCACTCCCGTTCAGATGCCTTTGTACCATTATCATGGGGAGAACCATTTGAGTTTGCACAAACAGGTTGTTATTGCTGAGAGCAAGAGCTGTGGAAGGGAGTTCAGCCTCACAGCGTGCAGACAGGAGCACTGCATTGATGCTTTGGGAGGGGGACAGTGCTACTTCTTGTCACTCTGTGGGATTTACATATACCACAGCTTCAGCATCCCTTTGATTAGTCACCTAAGCAGGAGATAGCACAGTGAGTTATCATGCGGAGCAAAAAAAGACCACCATTTGATGTGCACTTGTCTTTAAGTCACATCAGTTCCTTCATGTCTATTTCTTACCCTTGGAAACTCTGCTTGCAGGCTCTTCATTTCACTCAAACAGCAGGAGCGGAAGACTCTTCCTCTGTGGCCAGACCTTCTCGGGGGAGACCAAAGAGAAGAAAATTGGTATTTATTTACTAAGATAAAGATTCTCCAGAATCAAAATGTCCAGATACAGCTCTAGGAGTCCAATATTTCTTGTCTTCACCCCTCTTTAAAGCACAAAACCCAACATAATTCACAACAGGTTCAAGTTAAGTTCCTTTCACTCACTCAGACTCTCGGAGTCATGGAAGGACAAGTCACTGGGATAGTCTGGAAGGTTTGCTACATGGCAAATCAGTTAATCCAGTCATAAACAGAGTCCTGCAAATTGCAGTGATGGTAAACTTGGAAAAATAAAAAGTAAGAGAGAGGAACCCAAATCCCTCTCCCACATACATCACTTAGCATGTTTTGAAAACTTCATGCAAAAATGCAATTGCTGAATCTATGGCTTCTCTTTCCAAGGATCCTGAGCACAAGCAAGCTGAAGACATCCATTCTGGCTTCAAAGAGGTCCTGATTGCCATCAACAAACCGAGAAGCACCTACTCGCTGAAAAGTGCCAACCGCATCTATCTGGAAAAAACCTTCTCATTACTGCCTGTAAGTTAAATCTCAGAGAGAAGTAAGAAAACGTGCAAAAAAATATTTCTTATTTTAATTACTTGCCATTAATAGAACAGGTTTGAAGCTGACCGTGAATACTGCAAATGAAGAGCCCTGGATTCCAGTGATAAACTTAACTGGAAAATACCAGTTGGTCTGCTCACAGTACTTAAAGATGCATTGCCCTTTGACTGTAGCATAGGGATTCCTTTACATGCAATATGGCTTTATTATTGGAACACCCAATATATACAGTTGTAAACAAGACATTAAAATAAGCATATCCATGGGATGTGCACAGCCTTCCTCACTTCTCTAAATAAAAGTGGGAACAAAAGATGAAAATTTTCTGTCCTTTGATTATTTCTTAACTGTTGACTCACAGTCCAAGAGAGAATAACAAGCAAGATTCTGCAGTCCTCTATGCCCAAGAAGTTATCAATAAGTCCAAGAGCTAACTACTTCCCTTTGGGACTGAAAAATCCACTATAGTATAGAATTTTATTTTTTTTCTATTTTTCAGAGATACATACAGCTCAGTAAGAACTATTACAAAGCAGAGCCAGTGCAGGTTGACTTTAAGACAGCACCAGAACAATCCAGACAGGAAATCAACGCTTGGGTTGAAAAACAAACTGAAGGTAAGCTGAGCTTACAGAGAAAGAGCAGCACTTAAGCAGCTTCAAATACCTGATCCAGACCTCAGTGAGCTCCTTGGGGAGAATCCAATCAACTCTGCTGTGCTCTGCATCAGCTGGTCCTCAAGCATAACTGCTGCCCCGGCGCTGCACCCACGCACCACAGGCAGAGCAGACAGAGGGGAAAACCACCTCTGCCTACCAGTGTGCTCCAAGACGGGTGGGGATGCCTACCTGGCTGTACCACCCTGCACTGGCCAGAGGTGCTGGCATCCTTTCACCTGGTGTAAACAGCTGGCGAGGCACTATATGACTTTCTATTTCCAGCTGCTTGCCGTGAAGCTGGGACATTTTTCTGGGGAAGGAGTCAATCCCTTTCAGCTAGCCAGGACAACCAGGCAGCCAACAGCTTTGGAAACTGTAAACAGACTGATTTATGTCAGGGGAGTATTTTAGGGTGTAGGGCACTGTGCATGGACTTTTTCATTGAGTTGAACTGAGAGAAAAAACAATCAAAACATCTCCTCACTGTGCTACACTGGAATAAAACCTGACTCTTTTTATTCCAAAAGGCAAAATCAAGGATCTTCTGAGTTCAGCACATGTGTCAAGGTCCACTAAGATGATCCTGGTAAATGCCATTTACTTCAAGGCAGAATGGGAGGAGAAATTTCACGCAGCAAATACACATGTGCAACCCTTCCGACTGAGCAAGGTAAGCTCCTCTGGTACCCTTCTTACGGCTGGCTGACAACAGCTACTGCTGAAATATTTCCATTTCGTAAGTCTTTTAGGTATCCCTGTGGTAACTAAACTGTCTGTGAAAAACCGGTTACAGCAAAATGTGTCAGGGCTCAGCTCACTGCAACATTAAGATGCTGCTCAGGTAAATGTTAGTGAGTTCCACATAACAGCTACTGTTTCCAAAAGCAGTGGAGAAACTCAAGACCTTTTTGCAAAACAGTGCTAAAAGGGCTAGACTGCAAAAACATGATTTTGAGAGTCCAAGTTTTGTGGGCAGGAACTACGTGCCATGTCATGGGTGAGTACAGTACCCAGGACTCTGTGCTGTGCAGCCTACCTAGGCACAAACATACCTGCTCAAATACAGCTGCGACTGGGTACCCTGAATGGGTGCGTGCTTGGGCAAGTCTAGAAGAAACGTTAATGTCATGTTTCCAGCAGAGATGTCAATAAATTCACATCAAAAGACAAGAGCTCTGAGCAATTTCCACCAGCTGTAACTTCTGATTAGCACTTGCACATTGGCTGCTTCCCAGAATGAAGGGACATAGATGTCGAGAGAGGTTACAGACTCCTGCAAAGGTAATCGCTTGCCAGGAACTCCTCTCATCATGAGACCTTTTGCTAAGATATTAGTTTTACCTTTGATAAGGGTTGTGACATAAAGAGCAATCAGCTAGTCATTTTTTATTGCCAGAGAGAGGAGATCACAGAAAAACTACACAACACTCATCCTCTAAAACCATAGCTGGTTTTCTGCCATAGAAGTGTAAGGCCGTACACTGCGCGTGTTCTGGGGAGGAGAGAAAAATCAGTCAGTTCAGCCCCCAACAAAATGCTCTTGGACAAACACCAAGATAAGCAATATTGTCCTGTCAAAAAAAAACTTTGGAAAATGAACGACAAATCGCTGTATAAAAACTGCCTACAAAAGATTCCTCTCCCTCCACTGCACTGAGTCATTGTCATCTTTCCTTTCAAGGAATGATTTCTAACTTATAAATACTTTACAGAACAAGAGCAAGCCTGTGAAGATGATGTGCATGAGAAGTACATTTCCAGTTCTCATCATGGAAACAATGAATTTCAAAGTTATTGAGTTGCCGTATCTGAAACGTGAACTCAGTATGTTCATCCTCCTTCCCGATGACATCAAAGACAGCACCACGGGTCTCGAACAGGTAAAAAAGTATGCTACAACCATGTTGTATCACCACCCAGTCATTAAAAAAAAGAACTGGTAACTCTGCCTCCCCCTCTGAGGACATGCTGTTTGATCTCCTCCACTAGCTGAATTAATTTCCTTTAATATCTACCTAATCCCAAGAAAGTTCCTCCACAGTGAGTGCCCTTAGTCTGGTAAGGACTGAAGACAGTCAACACTGTGCATAATCAGATGCTTAGCTCTTCAACAGCCCCATGCGTGACACCCAATCCTACATGGTCTGTAAGGGTTAAATCTCCCTTCACTGCACATTCAGGAGGGGGAGTACTGCACAGGTAGTCACAGCCTCTTCCTGCAGTAACAGACACCTCTCTCCATGGCCTGGAAGTTTATTCACCAACTTGTTCTCATTCTGTTTGTCCCGTCCTCCCGTCCTCCCCCCCGCCATTCGTTTGCTGTCTGAAAAACTAGGATTTTGGTGAGACTGCATTTGCTACAATAATGAGACCTGACACTGTAATTACTACAATTGTAAGATTGTTAAGTTCTTGGTGTCTATCATGTCCAGAATACCATTCATTGCTCTCTTCCATTTGATTTGAGCTGAACCTTGGTGACATAGGGCGCAGGACACAGAATGGAAGGGAAAGATTTTGCTAGAAGCGGTTTGGTTTAAAATTGCCAAGGAGATATGTACAATGTCTACTCTGGTTTCTGTGGAACTGGAGCAAAACACCTGCCACACAGCTGGCAATCTCCCACCAATTTTCTTCACATCAAGACTGAATTAAAAAAGAGGAAGAAACTACCTCAGAGGATAACAGCTGCAGGTGTTGAGTGCTCCGTCTTTCTTTTGCAATGAATTTGGCGGAGGTGGTGCTCAAAACCCTGCAGCATTAAGACTCAAATGTTTGTTGCACACTCTCCTTCTGATAATCAGTAAAACCAATTTCTATTTCATGCTTTCAGCTAAATGTTACATTTGCCATTTAAAAAATTAATTCATTAAATTTCTATAAAACTGATTAATTCATAGTTAATTAATTGGGTTTTCCTTGCAAACATCAAATTCATTCCCTTTCTTAAACAATAGCTGGAAAGAGAACTGACGTATGAGAAGCTGTCCGAATGGACTGATTCCAAGAAGATGACGGGAACTCTTGTGGATCTGTGCCTGCCTAAATTCACAATGAGGGAGACATTTGAACTCAGTGATAATCTGTTCAACATGGGAATGCACACTGCCTTCAGTAGCAATGCTGATTTCAGCGGAATGGCTGAGAAGGGTAAAGTGGTGATCTCCAAAATTTTGCACAAGTCTTTTGTTGCAGTTGATGAGAAAGGCACTGAGGCAGCTGCTGCTACTGCAATTATACCAATGACAAGTCCACCTATTGGCCATGTTCTGAAATTTACGGTTGACCACCCTTTCTACTTCTTCATCAGACACAATGTATCCAATACTATCCTCTTTTTCGGCAGATTCTGCTCTCCCATAGATTAAGTTATTACTTGCTCTCAGACAGCACCCAAGGTTCACCGTTCAATGAAAAATGTGAATTGCAGTGTTAAAAGCTCAACCTTAAGACATGTAGCCATACATACTGAAAGTTTTCTTTTTCTCCCTCGGCCAAGTAAGGCAGCACCCAGAGACCACCCTGTGCCTCAAAGATCATCCCTGATAATTTCCATTCTCCTAATGAGACAGCCATCCACAGAAAACTTTGCTCCCTTGCATTATACCTGCTCTTCTGGCTTTGTTGTTCGAGAGTAAGGTGGGGCCATAAAAGCTCTCTGCACACAAGCCATCATTTAGCCCCATGCCAAGTGCTGACTTCAAGGGAAATGCAGTTCATCCTCTTGCATCTCCCAGAGAGGAAAAAAATCCCTGAAAGAAAAAAACCAAACCCACAAACAAACTTGTAGAAATCTATATGCTCTCTTTTCCTTACTGGGAAACCTGCATTTGCATTACAATGCAGTTTCCTTATGTTCATTTCAAATTTAAAGACTATTGGAAATTAACAAAATTTAATACAAACCCAGAATAATCTCAAAAAGCCCCTCACCTTCCCCTGTCTCACCACATGTATACCGACACATCACATTCATTCTCTCCTACCCTTGCAGCTTCATGAAAAAACAAAGCAGCAAGGGAAAATGGTCCAGCCCTTAACATTTCATAGATGACTTCTAATCACCTTGCATTTTTTTCCTCATTTTTCTAAACTTTGTAGGTTAAGGTTGCTGAGAGTTCCAATCAGCAAAAATGCTAAGAAAACTATGAGCAACATGCTTCTTGCAACCTCTTATTGATAAGGCATTTTAAACCTCCAGATTTCAAATCTGCTTCCTCTTTTTAATTGACTGTAATTATATCTGTTTCCTGGCTAATATGTGCACAGTTTCCTTGCTACCTGTATCATTGATCAATGCATGATTTATGTAATGATTTATGATGAATTATGTAATTTAACTTCTGACTAATCTCAGCAGAGATAGTCATGGTATCGACAGAAACACCAGTGAGATTTTGACTGATGCTTTACTTCATAATTTTACCATGATCTGCATTTAATCCAATAAATGAACTTGGAGCTGCGTTTGTGTTCTTCGAGACACTGATTTACCTGGTTCTCTTAGAGCATCATGTAAGGTGCACGGTTGGAGCACGTTTCCATTCTTGCCGTTCCAAATCAACCACCTCATCATCCCGATTGACAGAGCTGACACACTTAGTGTCTTATTTCCACTAGACTTCAAACAGCCCCAAAACCACTATTATTCAGCATGTTATCCCAGGAATTTACTAAACATTTACCAAATCAAATTAAACTCTGTGATGAGCAATTGTTTGCTAACTGTGTCAAGGCATTTTAACTTTTCAAGCATTCAGTTTCCTATTTTTACCACTGCTTATTTTTACCACTATTGCCCCCCCACCCCGGACCTGTTCAGGAGGCTTATTTTCCTGTCACAACACACTAAAAATAAAAAGTCCGACTAGAGTCTATAGCCAGAAGAGCAGCTTCCAAACATCCTTTTTGCCCACGTACGACAGTGAACAAGTGATGCTGCACTGGCAACATCAGTTCCCTCCGCTGGCTTTGGAGGACAGCAGCTTTCCTGTGGCCATGAAAGCATAAAATTTTGTAGCCGTTGTGGTACTTGGTAACCACGTCCGAGAACATTATCTAAGGCAAGAAGATTTGAATGCAGGAGGGAGGTACTGTAAAAACATTTAGTCTCAGCAAAATTCCACCTATAATTACAACTCACTCCACCTCTGCAAAAGGTATTCTATTTGGAGATGCATCTCCACCCAACAAAGTACACCTGCATCTTCTTCCCTGTACAAAGTGCTGCTTCTAACATCAGTGCCCTCCCTTGCCTGTAATCCTCAGCTCAGGGGTCAGCTGTCTGTCATCCAGGACCTATGCTGGTGCAGTCCAGTTGTGTATTATTGACTCAGCTTTACTACGAAGTTTGTTGTTTAGGTGTGGATAAAGCACACAAGTGAAGGCCATGCAAAATAAGAAAAGTAAAAACACAGACAGAGAAGTTATTGTCAGGATGGAATGGTCAGCATAGCGAGGCTTCAGGAGGAGAAACACATGAGGAGGTATAAAATCTCAATTTAAAAAAAAAAAAAGAACAAGTGGAAGATAACAACTAGCAACATTGAGGCTCAGCCTCTTCTAGGGAGCAACAAAGACCAGCTCTCCTCCACTTGAGTGATGCCTGGTCACCAGCAAAGACTCATCAGGGTGGTAAGCATATTAATTCTTAGCCTTGTAGCATGTTAATCCTCTCTCTCTGCTGTGTATATTCAACAATAAGTAATTACTGGGAACTCCTAAATTGTGTATACCCAGTTTAAACAGTTACTTCATGTAAGAGTAAAAGTTGCCCAAAGAAGTGGGAAGAGTTCCATGCCAAACCAAATGAAAGGTCTTCCCATGCTAATTTTATGCATTCCCTCACCCATACCACCCTGCAGGGCTCTACAAAGCAATACTTCTGAGGCTCTCTGAGGAACTACAGCATGGTGTCTGCCAGCTGGTGAGAGGTGCAAAGGGTCAAACAGGCTGGTTTTGGTACCAAGCTACTCCTAGTCTCAGCTTTGCTTGGGAGATGATGCCAAAGAGCACACCTTCCAGTATAAGACATACTTGGGATGCAGGTGAAAAGGGTGAAAGAGAAGGAAAGGAACCCACCCAGGGAGAAACATTCTTTAGAGCTCAGCTACTGCAAGAACATTGGAAGCTGCTTCATTTGTGCCTCACTGTACTATTTTCATGGTAACCAGTGTCTGGGTCTCAAGTCAGGCTAAGCCTTACAGAATCACAGAATTGTTCAGGCTAGAAGTGACCACTTGAGATCATCTGGTCCAACACCCTGCACAAGCAAGGTCAGCTAGTGCAGATTGCCCAGGCTGCCCAGTTGGGTTTTGAATATCTGTCTCCACCAATGGACACTACACAACCTCTCCAGGCAACCTGTGCCAGTGTTTGACCATCCTCACAGTAAAAAAGTGTTTTCATGTGTTCAGATTGCATTTCACGTTTTTAATCTGTGCCCATTGTCTCTTGTCCTCTCACTGAGAAAAGTCTGGTTCCTTCTTCTTCATTACATCCCATAAGGTATTTATGCACATAGATAACATCCCCCTGAGCTTTCTTTTCTCCAGGCTGTAAGTGCCAAGTGTCTCAGCCTCTCCTCATATGAAAGATGCTCCACTCCCTTAGTCATCTTTGTGGCCCTGTTCAGGGGGAAAATATGGAAAATCATATCTTCCTTATGCTGAACAGCCCAGAACTGGACACAGCACTTCAGCCATGGTCTCATCAGGGCTGAGCAGAGAGGGACCTCCCTCGACCTGCTGGCAACACTCATCCTCATGCAGCCCACAATGCTGTTGGTCTTCTTTGCTGTGAGGGTGCACTGCTGGCTCATGGTCAGCTTGTTGTCCACCAGGACCCCAAGGTCCTTCTCTGTAGAGCTGCTTTCCAGCCAGTCAGTCCCCAGCGTGTACTGATGCCTAGGGTTATTCCTCTCCAGATGCAGAGCTTTGCATTTCCCCTTGTTGAACTTCACAAGATTGCTCTCCTCCCAATTCTCCACTGTGTCCACGCCCTTCTGAATGGCAGCACAACCCTCTGGTGTATCAGTTACTCCTCCCAGTTTTCTATTGTCTGCAACCTGCTGAGGGTGCACTTTGTCCCAGCATCTTGGTCATTAATGAAAATGTATTTACCTCTGAGGTACACCACTAGTGATTTGACTCCACCTGGACTTTGTGCCACTGATCACAACCCTGTGGGCCTGGCTGCGTTCATTTATCTAACTCATACTTTGTCAGCTTCTCCATGAGGATGTTATGGGAGACAGTGGCAAAAGTTGTACGAAAGTCAAGATAAACAACAACCACTGTTCTCCCCTCATCCATCAAGCTAGTTAACTCATTGTAGAAGGCTCTCAGGTTGGTTAAGCATGATTTCCCCTTCATAAATCCATGCTGACTACTCTCGATCAACTTCTTGTCCTTCATGTATTTGGAAATGGTTTCCATGAGGATTTCTTCCATTATCTTCCCAGGGACTGAGGTCAGGCTGACAAGCCTCTAGATCCCTGAATCTTTTGAAGTCAGTTGTGATATTTACGCTCTTTCAGTCTTCAGGAACTTTTTCCAGTCATCATGGCCTTACAAAGATAATTGAGAGAAGCCTTGCAACGGTATCAGCCAGCTCCCTCAGCACCTGTGGGTACAAGTCATCAGGCCCCGTGAACTTATGTATGTTCTACTTGTTTTAATGCTCCTGACCCTGGTCTTCTTCTGCCAAGAGTAAGTCTTCTCCTTTCCAGACTTTTCGCTGCAGTCTCAGGCATGCCTGAAGAGTGGTCTTACCAGTAAAGACTGAGGTACAGAAGGCATTAAGTACCTCAGCCTTTTCCATGTCCTTTGTCAGTGTTTCCTCTGCACTGTCCAGCAGTGGGCCCATGTTTTCCCTAGCCTTTTTATCTTGTACTTGTAAACTGTTTTCCTGCTGCTCTTCACATCCCTTGCCAGGTCGACCTTGACTTTCCTAACCCTATCTCTGCAAGATCAGACAGTAACTCCAAACTCCTTCTGGGTCACCTACCCTGTTTCCATATCTTATACACCTCCTTTTTTATGTCTGAGTTTAAGTTAGGAACTCCTTGTTCATCCATGCAGGCCTCCCACCACATTTGCTGGACTTTCTACTTGTAGAATGGACCATTCTTGAGCTTGCAGGGGATGATTCTTGAATATCAACCAGCTCTCCTGGACTCCTCTCTAGGGCCACATCCCATGGAATTCTTCCAAGCATGTCTCTGAAGATGTCCTGAAATCCAAGGCAGTAGTCCTGCTTTTTGCCCTGCTCCTTCTTCTTAGGGTCCTGAGCTCCGTTATCTCATGGTCGTTGCAGCCAAGGCTGCTTATGACTTTGACATCCATGACCAGTTCTTCCTTGTTTCTTA